CGCGGCTGGTGCGCGAGATCGCGCAGGACTTCAAGACCGACCTGCGCTTCCAGAGCTGGCCGTGATGGCGCTGCAGGAGGCGTGCGAGGCCTACCTGGTGGGGCTCTTCGAGGACACCAACCTGTGCGCCATCCACGCCAAGCGCGTCACCATCATGCCCAAGGACATCCAGCTTGCACGCCGCATCCGGGGGGAGAGGGCGTAAAATATGCATTTCACTATTAAGTGCCAATCTTAAACCCAAAGGCTCTTTTCAGAGCCAACCACCTTTTCTGAAAAGAGTCCTGTGAACTGATGTTACAAGCTCTTTAGTAAGATTAAGTAGGTAGCTCTGAAAAGAGCCTTTCATTAAGTACTGAACTAGTCTTATCAATTATCTTTTATGGGGGCTGACTTTCTTGACTTGCTTACCTTGGGCTTAGGAGCTTTGACCTTGGACACTTCCTTCGGTTTGGCTGTTTTAAACTCCTTCGGGCTTTTGGCCACCTTGGCCCGGATAGTCGCTACTGTCTTTTTCACGTTCTTGGGGGTCGTTTTAACACTTTTTTCCGGGATGGTCGCGCCCGTCGCCTTGGGCTTCACTGCCGCAGCAGCCTTTTTAGGATTGGCTGTTCCTACCTTCTTAGCCTTGGGCTTGGCATCCCCGGTGGTCGCCTTTTTGTTGAGTTTAAAGGAGCCCGAGGCGCCGGTGCCCTTGGTCTGCACCAGAGTGTCCTTGCTCACCAGGCTCTTAAGTCCTAGCTTAATGCGGCTGTTCTTCTCCACGTCGTATCCGGCGGCCGGCAGCGCCTTCTTCATCGCAGCCAGGGACACGCCACTACGCTCCTTGGAAGCACAGACAGCCTTGGTGATGAGCTCCTACACCGGGGACACGGATGCCTTGCACTTCGTGGCACCGGCGGACTTCCGGGCTTTTTTCTTCCCAGGAGTCTTTTCCGCAGTAGCAGGAGGTGCGGCAGGTACGGTTTCAAACATGAATGTTGCTCGAAATACCTAACCGTGCAAATATAAGGTCTTAAGTTTGAGTAACAGGCGTGGGACTGTGTATATATACGCACAGCGCCACTGCGCGCTGATTGGTTCCCAGCTGTCTTCCAGCTTGACAGCAACTTAGTCTCAGCTCTGCCCCTGAGTTGTGTTTGTTACAATT